GGTACAGTGAGCACACCTGTAATCCCAGAATTCCAGAGATGGAAGTGAGAGAATGAGAAGAAGGTCATCTTTAGCTATATAGTAAATTCAAGGCCAGCCTGGGATACATGAGACCTGAGCACCAAAACAAACAAACAAACAACAACAAAAAACCCAAAAAACAAACAAACGAACCTGGAGGGCAGAGCTCTTGGGACTTGTACTTACTCAATTCCCGGGCTCTGATAGGACATGATATAGAACTTCTTGTCCAAAGTGGTCCTTTCCACCTTTGTTTTCCAGATAAGGCTATTGGTCCTGTGCAGGCCCATATAAAGTCAGGGTGGATTGAGTGCAGCACAGTTTGTCAGCACCTAAGGGCAGGGCCCTGGCTCGGGAGCCTAGGCCTCACTGTAGGGCGAATCTATGCGCTGGGTGGGTGAGTCCCCTGCTTAACTGGAAGTGGAAGGGAGACCCGCAGACCAGACCCACCAACTTCCAGCAGGGGCCCCAGGGAGATTACTTGTCCAGTGGGCTGTTGTAATGGTAGATTTCTTCCTCTGTGTAGTCTCTGATGGTGTCAATCGTGTGGCCGCCACCCACCACTTTTAGTAAGTAGCTGTGGAATGTAGAGGCAAACGTGGATCAACAGTCCACCTTCCCTGTCCCACTTGCCAAGGACTGGCAGCCTCCAGGCAGCCTTTCCTCACCTGCCCAGGAAACTGCCAGAGTCTCCGGTCACCATGTCTTGGATTAAGAAGAAGGGCTGAAACACTGTGGGGTGCGAAGGAGAGGAGGGGAGAAAGAAATTAGCTTTGTCCAGAGAGGAGCAGGAAGGAAGGGGAGGGGAACTCGGGGTTGGAGCAGAAGGTTGTACGCAAAGGGAACTCGGGAGGGGTGACAAAATGGCCAGGACAGGAGGACAGTGAACTCGGGAGAAGGGATGGAACACACAGTCACGAAAGAGAAAGCACGGCATCTCAGGGTTCGTCCGCCCACAGTCAAAATAGTGCTTGTTTAACTCCCGGGAGTGCAGGATCGTGTAGGTGACATCGAAGGCCAGGCGCTTGCCAGGGGGACAGCCGATTAACACTGGCACCATCAAGTGACCCTGGGGAGGAAAAAGACCTCCTGCTGAGGGATGGCCAGATTGCCATAAAGGAAGAGAGAGAAAAGCCCCCTTCTGTCACACACCAGACTACCAGCCCTCCTCACCAGCAAGGCTGGCGGCCACTCGAATCTGTAGCATGGCACCCTTACTGCCTGCCTGCCTGACTTTTCTTGGCAGTGCCCAAGGTTGGAACCAGGGCCTTCCTCCAGTGCTAAGCCCATACACTACCACTGGGCTACATTTCCAGCCCTTTGTTTGTTATTGTTTTTAATTAACAGTTTACTAAATTTTAGGATTTCATACGATCTGTTTGATCACGTTCACTCCCCTTAAGTCCTTCCAAATCCAACCGATTGCTTCCCTCGACTTCATGCTCTTTCTTGCTGCTTGAGACAGGCAGTCCTTGTGAAGAAGTCCTGGCTGGTCTGGAAATTACTACATTGACCAGGCTGTCTCAGACTCACAGAAATCCTCCTGCCTCTGCCTCCCAAGAGCTTCGAGGGTTAAAGGTGCGCACCACCAGGCCCAGTTTTCTTGGTTTTTGAGATAGAATCTTCTAGAGCCAGGCTGTCCTTGAACTCCCCATCCTTCAGCTCCCCGGGAATTATAGGCATGTCTCACCACACCCAGCTAAGACAGCCAGCCAAGGCTTATGTAGCAATGTACAAGGCATTGGGAAATGTTCTAAGAGCTTAACAAACTTTCTTAATTAAGCCTGCATGAGCTGTGTGAGCCCTATATGGTACAGCCTATTAATATGCCCCATTTTGATATTTATTTATGATTGTTTGTTTGAGATAGGATCTCTCTGTGTTGTCCTGGCTGTCCTGGTACTCACTTTTGTAGACCAGGCTGGCCTTGAACTCACAAAGATCCATCTGCCACTGCTTCTAGAGCACTGAGATTAAAGGGATGCAACATCATACTTGGCATTTAGAGATGGCACGCACCTGCTATCCCAGCACCCGGGATGGTGAGGCAGGAGGATCTGGGGTTCAAGGCCAAATCCCCATGTTATATATAGCAACAACAGATAACAAAAGTGAGCAACAGCCGGCTCTGGTGGCTCCTGCTGTTACCCCAGCATTTGGGAAACCAATGCAGGAAGATGTGTGTGTGTGTGTGTGTGTGTGTGTGTGTGTGGCGTGGCTGGGGGGCATTAGCATGGTGACTCGAACCTGTAATCTTAGTACTTTGGAGCAAAGAGGATCAGGTGTTCAGGGTCACCCTTAGCTACAGAGCAAGTTTCTAGCAAGCCTGGGCTATTTGAGACTGTCTTAAAAACAAATAAAGGAAAAACTAGACATAGAAAGGCCGAGTAACTTATTCATTTGGCGGAACCGCACAGTGGTAAGGAGTTGAAACAGACAGATAGGATCCATATACTGCTAGCAACAATATGCAAAGCCACTGATGTCTGCACTGGCAAACCTCAGCTTCTACTCACATCTCAAAGGTCTAAGTTCAGACTATAAGCCACCAAGAGGAGTATGTAACACCAGAAGGAAGCAGAGCCCAGAATGAGTGGCCCGGGTCGGGGAAGCCTCATGCATTCATTGTCTTCAGAATGAAGAATCTCTCTAGGCCCATTTGGGGCTAGGCCATGACATACAGAGATTGTGGTCTGAGCTTGGTGGCTGCAGAGGTGAGCATCTCCCATGCCAGACCTGTGCCAGTCCCTTCCTGTGATGCATAAGCCAGCACTCCATAGGCTGGTGGGCATCTAAAGTTCAGTCTATTTAGAAATCATCTTAGTTAATGGACTTCTATCTCTCCCAGATGTTCAAATGAAAAAAAAAAATTGGCCCTAGGTTGTGAATGTAGCTTGACCCTGTAGAGCACTTGGGGTTACTAGGGGAAGGAGGTTCTGGGGTTGTGTAGGATTCACAATGATGTGTTGAAGAGTATGGCTCAGATTCTGCCTTCTCAGTGCTGGGATACGGGCACGCTGCCACCATGCCTGCCTAGCTTCCTGTTTCAACCCTTCAAAATAGATCCAGAAGGCTGGCACGTGACTCATTGTTCAGTAATGATAGCATGCTTGGGTCTCTGCCTTCCTTCTCTGGCAACACAAAAGGGGACCTAGCTAAGGAGCTGAATCAGGAGGGTTGATATGGGTTTGAAGCCAGCTATGTGGTAGAGTGAAACCCTGTCTCAGAAAGAAAGGAAGGAAGGTCCAGCAGTGGTGGAGCACGCCTTTGATCCCAGCCCTTGGGAGGCAGAGGCAGGTGAATCTCTGTGAGTTCGAGGCCATCTTGGTCTACAGAGCTAGTTCCAGGACATCCTCCAAAACTACAGAGAAACCTTGTCTTGGAAAAAAAAAAGAACAAAAAATAAATAAAATAAAAATATAGCCTTTCAAAAAAAAAAAACTTGAAGGCATATTTAAAAAAAAGAAGAAAGGCCATACCTAAAAGCCATCTATTTTTTCCCCTAAACTTCAACTTTCTTCCCTCCTCCCTTACCATTCTGGAACTCACACACACACACACACACACACACACACACACACCCCCAGCATCCAGACAGATTCAAATGTCCCAGTCTCTCCCTTCTCTCCTTACTCATCCTGATTCAGCCAAGCTTGTTCCTGACACATGTCATCTAAGAGGTCTGTGCCTGTCACACCCCTTTTCTACTGCCCGGGTCACTCCAATCCAGCAAGGAGGATCCCTGAGGTGAGCTCTGGTGGGTGGACAGGGAAGTTATGGAGAACAAGGACTCTAGGTCCTCTCCAGGCCTCGGTGGCTAACTGTGTGCGAGGAGGATAGCACATGTGTGAGCAAGAGAAAGAGCACAAAACAAAAGGAGAGAACAAACAAGATTTGAGAGGGAGAGGGTAAGACAATGGGTGAGGGTTGGAGGGTGCTGTCTTGGTGGTAGAGTGCTTGCCCACATCCTCAAAGGCCTGAGTTCAATCTCTGGTACTGGAAATGGAAAACAAAAACATCAGTGTGTGGTGTGTGTGAAAGGGTTTGCCATGCCCTCCACGTGCTACATGTGTGTCAGCTGGGAAAAGGAGCCAATAGACACCTATGTAAAAGCACACAGGCTTGTGTGCAGCCTTCAGAGCTGTGAAGGCAACCACTTCAGAGACCCTCCCTGAGTCGGGGGTGAGGTGGGGGCTGGATGAAGATAGCAAATGAGAAAGGGGCTGGACACGTGACCCCGAGGTTAAGAGCACTGGCTGCACTTGCAGTCACAGAGGGCCTGGGTCCCATTCCCAGCAGCCACATGGCAGCTCCCAACCATTAGTCACTTCAGCTCCAGGGGGCCAGATGCCCTCTTCTGTTCTGGCTCTGCAGGCTCCTGCACCCACATGGTGAGCAGTCATACATGCAGGCAAAATACCATACACATAAATTAAAAAATATGAATGCGGGGCTGGAGAGGTGGCTCAGCGGTTAAGAGCACTGACTGTTCTTCCAGAGGTGCTGAGTTCAATTCCCGACAACCACATGGTGGCTCATGACCACCTTAAATGAGATCCGGTGCCCTCTGCTGGCATGCAGGCAGAAGACTGTATACATAATAAAGAAATAAAATCTTTTAAAAAAATATGAAGGCATTTGTGGTGTTCTCAGGACAGCAACAGGAAACAGCCCTGTGGGAACTCAACCCAACCCTCTACTCCCAGTACCAGACCCAGTACCCAGGTTCCAGTACTTGCATGCTTGTCCCACTGTAGGAGGTCTGGAAGCATTTTCCGGAAGATCCCAACACCTGTGGGTAGCAGTAGGTGATGCTAGGGATCCCAAGGGCCACTGTCGTCTCCCCACACCCTCCCCCAAGCTTGGACCATACTTTGACCATCATGGAAGTCTTCTTGAGGTTATGTCCACTGAGACCCTGATCATAGCAGACCTTTCTGTCCTTGATTGTAATCTGAGGTAGAGGAAGGAGAGACTGAAATAGAGATATCCAATGCCGCCCT